TTTTTTTCAGAACCAGGGATTGAACTCAGGTCTTTGCACTTGCCAGGGAAGTGCTTATTCTACTGAGCTATCTCCCGGGCCCATTACTAGCTTCTATTTTTGACTTGGTATTTAAATTGGAACAATAAGAATTCAAGCAAAGAAAGTTAAAGCACTTTTTTAATTGCATGATTCAAATTTTCATACTTTATTTTTGAAGTAGGGTCTCACTACCTGGCCTTGACTTTAAGGTGATCTTCCCACCTCAGCTTTGGCCTGAGTGCTGGGATTATAGGTGGCATCACCATATCCAGCTCCTAGTTTTTTGTCTGCTAATGCCTACCAGGTAGGATCCAGGCCAACTACCTGGAAGTCCATTGTTAAAAATTCTAATCATCTAATCACATTCAAAACAGACTAGAACCAATATCATTGCTTCCAGTTTTAGATGACACTATACAATAGAGATCAGTAGTCCGACTTTGGATTTGTCAAAGGCTGCTTGTAGAGTTGTTTTTTTGTTTTTTTAGGGAACTGGAGATTGAACTCAGGCCCTTGTGCTTGCCAGGGAAGCACTTACCCACTGAGCCATCTCCCTGGCCCCTTGTACAGTCTTTTTAAAAACAGTCCCTAAGGTATTTTCATCATTTCCCTCCAAACCATCTTATGACTTTTTTTAACTCTAAAGGATGTATGTGCAGTGCCCCACAGTGAAGTCTATTTTCCTTTATGCATTTAAGCCACACACCAGAGGTTAAAGGATGGGTGAGGACATCTACCTTGTAGTCGCCTTTCTTTCTTCTCCCCAAGGTCCCCTGGCAGCTATTATTTGTGAAATGCTTGGAGACAAAGCTACCTCCATTCTTGGGACACTACTTGTTGCCGGTGGCTATCTGATCAGCAGCTGGGCCACAAGCATTCCCTTTCTTTGTGTGACTATGGGATTTTTACCTGGTAAGTACACTATAAATAGATGACTATAAAAAATGGAACAGGCTGCCTGTGGTCCTAAGGCCCAGTTATATTATCTCCAACCCAGACTATCTCATCCGGTACCAAACCATCTAATATTCCCAACTGTTGTTTTTCTTTTAGGCTTGGGTTCTGCATTCTTATATCAAGTAGCAGCTGTGGTAACTACCAAATACTTCAAAAAACGACTGGCTCTTGCTACTGCTATTGCCCGTTCTGGGATGGGCCTGACGTTTCTACTGGCCCCATTTACAAAATTCCTCATAGATCTTTATGACTGGACAGGTGAGTCAATCTAAATTTCTAAACTACCAGCTCTCCCAGATTTAACATTCATCTTCTTTTATGACTGGAAATGAAGGCTGTAAAAGAAGTCAATTTCTAAAGGTATTACCATGGCAGGATAAAAACAAACAAAAAAACCTTAAAAGATATTATGTCAGAGAGGAAATGAGCACACTATCTAAACATGCTCCTTTTACAGAATACATCACAAGACAGCTCCTGAAGGACATGCAGGCTATGCAAGCTCACACAAGGAATTCAGTGTCTAAGAGATGGAGACCACTCTGTTTATATAAACATCCTTGCTGTGACAATGGCAACCCCAGGAGAAACAAGCTCCTCTCCCTTCTCAAAAATAAATTTGTTGACATTTTTCTTTTTGGAGAACTGGGAATTGAATGTAGGACCTTGCATTCACCAAGTAGGAGCTGTGCCACTGAGCTATACCCCCAGCTCCAAGAAAATTCACTTTTAATATTTTTTGGGTTTTACTGAGACAGGGTCTCACTATGTAGTACAAAAATGTAGCCCAGGATGGCCTAGAACTTACAGGGACCCTCCTGTCTCCTTTTCCCAAGAGCATGGATTGTAAGAGTGTATCACCTTTCCTAGTTCATTTTTCATATTTTAAGAAAATTATCTGCATTTTAAAAAATTACTCTTCTACCAGAAAATAGCCGAAACCAAAAATGTTAGGAAAAAAGGATCCTATTAATCTTCAAATCTTATCAACTATGAATTTTCACAAGTCACTCATACCATAATCTTCTTTGTATCTGAAAATAACTCATTTAAATGTTTAATGATGTACGTGCAGTGTATGTGTACATAAATTATGTATGTGTAGTCATATGCCTATTTCTGTCTACATCGCAACTCTACTCTCCTAAATAAAATCTATTTAGTCTCATGCAGAATGGGGCCAACAAACTAAGATGGACAGTGGAACTTAACATTCTTTTTTTTTTTGGAACCAGGGATTGAACTCAGGTCCTTGCACTTGCCAGGGAAGTGCTTATTCTTACTGAGCCATCTCCCTGGCCCAACATTCATTCTTTATAAGCATCACACACAAGTAACAGCTTTGGTAAGGGTGTACTAAAATCAAGCAGCTCCTCAGGATCAAAGACAAGACCATTGGATCAATGAGATAGCTCAGCAGCTTAAGAGCCTGCCTGGCAAACGCAAGGTCCGGTGTCCCCGGTACCACACACACACACACAAAGGCAAGACTATCATCTGTATTTCTTCAAAGATGTTTAAAATGTAGTACAAAAGACTATCTTTTCTAAGGTCATTTCTAAATAATGAGTCATTTAACTGTATGTGAATCTAAACTGTCACTTCAGGATATTTACAATTCCTATTTAAAACACTAGTTTTCTATCATTTAAAATTTAAAATACCTACCCCTCAAAAAATATATATTTGTACCCTGTAGCAAAAATAAATAGCTCTCCCCCAATCTATTGGTGCAGCTTTGTGGTTTTCGATCTTTCAAATGCCATGAACACAGCAGTGTACACACTGACAAGTCAACAGGCTTACGTTAAATGCTTTCATCTTAAGTGGGAGGCAAAACGGTGGCTTCAAGAATCACTGCACTGCCCAGTGAGGTCTCTCCTGAGACTATGCAGGTAAGGTACTGCGAATGGATGGGCTCCTTTTAATTTCCAATTTCTCCTTTCTGCTTAGGTGCCCTGATACTGTTTGGAGCTATTGCACTGAATTTGGTGCCTTCAAGCATGCTCTTAAGACCTATCCATGTCAAAAGCGAGACTGATTCTCCTTCGGAAGTTCACAGTTCGTCTGCAAGTGCTCCGGAGACACAGTGTGCCACAGGAACATCATACTGTAATGAGACACAAGAGTTGTTCACCAAGGACAGTATTATGCACAAAGCTGGACAACCTGATAGAATTTTTACAGTTTCACAAAATCAAAGTGAAGAGCTCAACAATGGGTCTAATAGGAACAGACTGCTACTACTAAGTCATGAAGAAAACTGTAAGCAAAAGGCCATTTCACAGAGCTACAAACAAAAACTCTTTGACTTCTCTCTCCTGAGGAATCCTTTCTTCTGCATATTTACCTGGTCTTTTCTCCTCAGTCAACTGGCTTATTTCATCCCCACTTTTCACCTGGTTGCCAGAGCCAAAACTCTGGGCATTGACATCACGGATGCCTCCTACCTTGTCTCTGTGGCTGGTAAGAAACCTGTAATATCCTATTTAGAAGAAAAATGAATTTAGTTTTTTTTTGTTTTTTTTTTCGGAACCGGGGATTGAACTCAGGCCCTTGCGCTTGCCAGGGAAGCGCTTATTCCACTGAGCCATCTCCCCGGCCCCTATGAATTTAGTTTTATAAAAGTTTAGTACATGTTACTTAAAAGTTGAAGAGAAGCCACAAGAGCTGTCAGTGGGCCAGGAGAAGCAAGGCTCTGGGCGGCAGGTGAGCACAGATCCGCCACTATGCTCTGCACGGCACTTCCGCTAGGTTAGGGACCCTCACCCAGGTCTTACTCATCTTTGTGTACTTGACACAGTAAACATTAATATTTTCTGATACTGAACTTTAAAAAGCTAGTGCTCAGTGGCAACAGCTACTCCAAGAAATAAAAAAATCCCAGCCAGACAACACAGTACCATAGATGAAATAGGTTGACTTCCCTGGCTCATGTTGCTTTTTCCTAGCTATGTAAACTTGGGCAAGTTTCTTGCTTTTTGGGGGGAGCTGAATTGGGCATTGAACTTAGGACCCTGCACTTGCCAGGCAAACCCTTATTCTACTGAGCCATCTCCCAGTCCCCTAAATTTCTTGCTTTCTCTGTGCCTCAATGCCCTCATCTGTGAAATACACATACTAGTACTTATCCCCATAAGCGTCAGGATAAAACATGTAATACATGTACTTTAGTAGTGCTTTGGTCTACAGGCAACATTCAATGTTAGATTAGTATTTGTAATTAAGTATTTTCCCCTGAAATAACAGTAAAATGGGGGCTGGTGAGATGGCTCAGTGGTCTAAAGCACCTACTTAGAACTATCTAAGCAAATCACAGGGACCGCGGTTCGATCCCCCAGCACCACATGCCAGCCAGCCCCGCCCCCTGGTGGGCTGAGCTGGCCACACACACACCAGATAGATAAATAAATGTTTAAACAGTAAAATGTAAGTATGACGCAAGGCTAATCATATTAGCTAATATTTTAAAATAACAAAAATATGAATTAAAAATGAAAACCATTTTAGTTATGTTCATAAAGATGCTTCAGGATACAATGCCTGACCAAGAAGCGCAAGATGCTTTCACACGACAAAATAGGAAGACTAAGAGAATGAAAACTGCCTGCTCAGCATGGTGCCACACACCTGTAATCCCAACTCAAGAGGCTCAGGCAGGAGGACTACTGTGAGTTCAAGACCAGCCTGGGCTACACAGTGAGTTCATGGCCAGCCTGAACTACAAAGTGGGACCCTGTCTCAAAAGGAAAAAATAAATTTTTTTAAAAAATGGTTTTAACGTTAAGACTTCTACTACTCCCCAGTCTTCTGCCACTTGACTGCCTGAAGACAGGTCCCCAACAGCCTCCTAGTGCTTCAGGAACCTCACTTCCTCACTTGCAGGGCATGTAAAGGTAAAGGACAGCAAGGTGCTCCAAGCCTTGGGGACCCTGTAGTCAGGAATCCCGTCAGGTATTACTGGCTTTCCATACACACACACAGCTTGCTTTTTTTGTAATTTACTGAATGCATTTATAAGTAAATGATGCTTTTTAGTACAGTGGGTTTTTTAGTAAAGTAAATATGCAGTTTTGGTGGACAAATGAAAACACTTTTCCCCTCTCATATCTTGGCCTCAAGATGGGTTGTATTACTTGAGGAAAGATGCCTACACATTCCCACTTTTTTAAAGGGGCTTGGAAAATGGAATTAGAATTTCCTAATTTCGTTTCCTATATTGTTTCAGGTATCATCGAGACAGTCAGTCAGCTTATTTCTGGATGGGTTGCTGACCAAAACTGGATTAGGAAGTATCAGTACCACAAGTCCTACCTCATCTTCTGTGGTATCACTAATTTGCTTGCTCCTTTAGCCACCACATTCTCACTTCTTATGACCTATACCGTATTCTTTGCTGTCTTTGCTGGTGGTTATCTGGCACTGATACTTCCTGTACTGGTAAGTAGATATTCATTAATACTGTTGAACCATTTAGTGTAATAATCTCCCCAGAGAGAATACATATTTTATATTACCTTTATAATTTTACAAAAACATACCAAAGATCTCAGAAATCCTATAGCTAATTGTAGTCTACTCAATTATTACCTTAAGGGGAAGGATGGCAGGGCCAGTCACATGAGACAGGATGGAATTAAATCATAAGAGGGAACAGTAAGATTTCATTTTCCCTATTAGCCACCTAAAACAGTAGGAGCTCTCTCCCACAGCTCCAAGAGTCTTTGGCTCTAAGGTACAATCTTGAAAAACCAGAGAATCACTGCATCTTCTTTTCTGTTGAAGTTATTAACCACTGATCCTGTGTATTTTAATAACACTAGTGTTTGTTTTTAATCTCTCCATTTCTATCTTGAATTGGCTTAAAATCCCAAATAGGCCTGGAATATTTATGAAAACATTTCTATGTTCTTGGAATCCCTTAGGTCCTCAATGTGCTAGAACAAAATCCCTCAGACATTGCTAGCCTGTTAGTGACTAGGACACTGTAAGATGCTTAAGCAAAACTCCAGCTTCCTGAAACCAAAATTCTGCATCTGCATTCTTACAAATCCATGGTTGCTAACTGGCTGTGTCACTGTCAGCTCAGATTATAAAATATCATTTCCTAATACAGAAGATCAGTGAGATTCGAGGTAGTGGGGGGAAGCACTACGGAACTATATAAAAAAAAATTTTTTTTTTAAAACTAAAAACAAGTGTTCTTCCACTAATCTGAAAACACTGCCTGTCTAACCAAGTTACTGTTCCTTATTTGACCTCTGCTTTTTCAGAACACTGGGGGTAAAAGGCTGTCCAAATTACCTCTGAAGTCAAGTGATCAGTTACAGTATTTGTGCCTCTGTAGTCATAGATCTATGTTTATAGAACTTCATTCTTAATATGGCTAAAACTGAAATCTAATCCCTACAGGTAGATCTGTCTAAGAATTCTAGAGTCCACAGGTTTTTGGGACTTGCTGGTTTCTTTGCTGGGATGGCTGTGCTTTCTGGACCTCCTATAGCAGGTAACAACTAAGCCACATTCTGAGCAAATTTCAATAGTAATACAACACTGATCCAGGATTAATGGTCACATATAATGAAGCACCAATCTTAAAAATTTGACATCTTGGGCCGGGGAAATAGCTCAGTAGAATAAGCACTTGCCTGGCAAGCACAAGGTCCTGAGCTCAATCCCCAGTACCATACACCCCCCCCGAAAAAAAATCTCTAGTTTTCTTGTGTACTGTTCTTCATTGCCAATACAGGAAAATCTAGTTTAACTCAACAAATATACTCTAATCTTACATTCTCTAGGGAATCTGAGACAGGACGGATTATGTGTCTACTTACCTGGGGAGATAATCCAGTTTCATCAGTCTCAAAGAACCACCACTGGTGTATTTTATGTAAAGAGGAGTCACTTTTAAACTGAGCTTGAAGGCCTCCAGCCTTATACTTTTGTTCTCTGATGTGCCAGAGCTGTCCAAGGGTACCCAGGATCTTTTCTTTTCAGAGGGAGAACCTTCATGTTGTCTATACCAAGTATACCACTTGGCCTAAAGGGACAATCTCTATGGAGAAATCACCAGGGCTAACTCATAAATATTATATACAAGTATACATAGTGACTATATGAAATTCTGAGTTTTTAACTTGAAGACTGAAGTGCGTTTTAGATTCAACTTTTACCTAACTGGTTGCTTGCTAAACATTTAATTTAAGGACACCAAAACCTTCACTGCTCTTGCCAACACCTCGAGGGCCAGCAGGCTTAGACGATAACATCTTCTGAACCACAGGTGTTCAAAACGTACGCGCTACAGGGCAGTGCAAACCGCGCAACCATCCACACGCCAAAAAAGCCTAAAATTTACTATTGCTGTCTTTAGCTCTGTCATTAAGCAAAAAAGGATCTGATCTTGCCCATTTTTAAAATTTATTTTACCATGATGTTAAGTTTGTACCTGTTGAGACACAGAAAAGGCAAATAATGAAAAAAACTATAAACTTGGGATATAAGGACAATGACCAGAAGGAAAATACTAGGATTTGAGATTCAGTTTAAGTGTATTCTAAGGGAAATTACAAATATAGAAGCCACTGCCTTATTTGCATTTATGTGAACATACCCTTTCCCATGTTGTCTAACTGTTGGCCTGCACTGGGCACCTATACAACTAGCTAGAATTTTAAAGTCAGAATTACTATATAGTGGCTTGGTAAAGGGAGGGTGCATGCCCAAACTACCTTTAAGAGTTACTCTATGGCTAATATCTGGGATCTGGGTCAGTAAGATACCAAAAACAACTCAAATAATTATTCAGGTTTGTCCCTAACGCTTTATTGTGCAAAATTATACAGTTTGCTCTTTTTTTTTTTTTAATCTTGACCTTTTTCTTTGTGTGTGGTACTGTGGAATCTCAACCTTTCTTTACTGGTTATTCCAGTGCCACCTCAGAAACTGTGAACACCTCTTAAGCCAAAAGTACGTGACATAACAAATACCAAGGCACAAACTATCTTATTCAAAGGCAAATAACAAAATTACAACACAGCTAATGATATACATGTTGTTGTACATATGTTAAGGTGTTAGAAGTGTTCATTATATAAGCAGATAAGGCAAGTTAGAAACAGCTACCAGTGTGTATATGGATCATAAAACCAATTTGTTCGGCCATAATACTTTTTATTAAAAAAAAAAAAAAATGGATGGACTAAAAGAGTCTAGAAAACACAACATACATTTAAAAAAAAAAAAACACGGTATAACGCTTTATTGTGCAACTTTTATTTCATGCATGTACATTCCTGTATAATATAAAATGTTTCACTGTCAGTCAAAAAGTTTATCTTTTATTATCCAAATCTAGAACTATACCTATGAGAATTAAGAGCTCATAATTAATTATTAATTATAATTATGATTAATATTTACATCTACTCTTTCTGAAAAAATTAGGCAATCCTAAGTACTGTAAGTTCTGTAAATATGTCAAAATACTCCTGAAGGCTTATATACTGATTTTTTTAGTCTGGAGGTTGCTCACAGTATCTCTAATAGATTTAGAGACTATAATTTCAGTTATCTTTCCCACTTTTCCAAGGCTCTCTCACTATAGTGTTATGTCACTAAGTATCTTGTTGAAGGTAAAAATTTCAAGTTTACCTCATAAGTCATTCTACTGTGAATAAAAGAGGACTTTACACATTTTTTCAGGTTTGTCCCTAACTTCTGACTCTAGCAGCAACTACCAAAATAACATAAAAAATGTTGATTTATAGATTAACCCATTTCTCAAGAGGTATGGTCAATTCTATACTGTATTTACCTTTAACTAAATTGAAGGCTTAAAATAAATAAACAAAAATAAATTGAAGGTTTAATGAATTCCCTTATTGATAAAAAACTGAATTCCAACTCAACTTAGAGCTTCAGAAACTGCATGAGATTTTACTTACCTAGATCTGTTATTACCAAATTGCAAACGGTGAAATCCTATAAAAGATTACAGGAATTTTAAATTAGGAATCTGAGTCATATAGTAAATCCTCAGTCAAAACTACTAGTTAAGAATGGTAACACTGATTACATAAATAGTATTTTTCTCCTTCCTGTAGGGAAATAAAAAGAAAAAGTTAGTTCTATATAACATTTTTTAAAAGAATTAAAGGAAAAAAAAGCATAGAAATCGCAGCTCCTCCAAATGGCATCACCAGGGATTGAGCCCCAAGCGTTCACAATGAGCCACATCCCGTCTTTTTTATTGTTTATATTTTGAGACAGGAGTCACTAAGTTGTTAAATTGCCCATACTAAATTGGTGCTCCTCCTGTCTCAGGCTCTGAGAATACAAGGAATACAGGTGGGTGGTACCAAGAGCAACCTTTTTTTGGTCCTTTTTATTTTAAGACAAATAAGGTCTAAGTTGTGTCATCGTGTCGTTTCCCCCCAACCCCCAACCCCCGCCGATCCAGGCTTCAAACTTGTGATCCCTTACATTAGCCTTTTGGGTACTTAAAAAAAAAACAAAACTAGAGCATATGAGCAAAAAATTGTATACCTTTCTCAACTGTGAATGTGACAAGAAACATAGTAGAATAAAATTTGTTAATCACATCTTTTATGCAACTGACAGGGACTAAACAGATGAAAAGTAAAAACTCACCTTCCCTACACACACTTCTCTATTAAGGCTCCACCGTTGCCCACTCCAGTGCAGTCCCTTTTATCACTTTCCAGTATTTAGTAACAAAGTCAGTTTTAGCTAATGATACGGCCAGAATTAAACTAGGTCAGTTTTAGGGTTGGTTAGGTTCCCTGACAAAGGTCTAGGACAAATGTCATGGCTCATCTAAACTGAACTGCTGTTGTGCTCCTGTAGTTTTAGAATGTGGGACCGGGGAGATGGCTCAGTAGAATAAGTGCTTGCCTGGCAAGTGCAAGGGTCTGAATTCAATCCCCAGTTCTGAAAAAAACAAAACAAAACAAAAACAAAAAACCTCCCAGTTTTAGAACGCATTCAAAACTATACACTAATGTCAAGTGTGGTGCTACACACTTGTAATTACAGATTTTAGGAGGCCAAGAGAAAAGGATTGCCATAAGTTCAAGGCCAGCCTGGACTACAAATGAATTCAAGGCCAGCCTGAATTGCATAGTGAGACTGATGCTGTCTCAAAAAAGAAAAAGAAAAAGAAAAGCCTATACACTAAGGTGGAAGCCTTGAAGAGCTGTAGAAAAGTAAAGTAAACCTGCAGAAAGATTATAGTGCCTTAAAAAAAAAAAAAAAAAAAAAAAAAAAAAGGATTATAGTGCCTTGAGATCATTCAGCCAATAACTATTAATTAGTTTTCTAATAGTATGAGGCACTGTGTCACATGCCAATCAGAGCTTCAGTCTGGTGACAGCAGAAATAAAAGTTTATATATATATATATATATATATATATATAAAAGATTACAGTGCCTAGGACAGAAAAGCAAGTATAGAATCACAATCTCTCATACAAGGATATAAATTGCTTACATGAAATCCTAACCATGCACCTGAGGTATCTGACATCTTGGCTCAAACATTCAAGCCTCAGCTTCACTTAAAAATAAATCAAGAGGGCCGGAGAGATAGCTCAGTAGAATAAGTGTTTGCCTGGCAAGCGCAAGGGCCTGAATTCAATCCCCGGTCCGAAAAAAAAAACACAAAAAAAAAAAAAAATCAAGAAGGGCTGGCCAAATAGCTCAGTGAATTAAAATGCCTGCAAGCAGGCACAGGGACCAGGGGTTCAATCCCGGGGCTGCCGTTCTGGTCCTGCCCCCATGGCATGCTGAGATGGCAACTGAGACTGGGCATGGTGGTGCGCACCTGTAATCCTAGCACTCGGGAGGCTGTAAACAGGTGGATCACTACGAGTCCAATCTTGTAGCAAGACTCTGAACAACCTGTAGGCCCTTCCCTAAAATATATAGAAAAACAAAAAGCCACATTAACTGCCTATAAAATAGAGCCAAATGCATTTTCCCTTACGTATTCCTAATATATATGATACATATATTTATATATACTGCCATAAATATGTTTATTTGATTATAACTATGTAAGATGGTACATGAGACAGAGAAAAGAAAAAAAGTTACCCACTCATCCACTCTGACAAATTCAGAGTGGACACCAAACTTAGAACCAAGCTAACAGCTTCAAACACTAAGAACTATTGAATCCGCATTCTTTTATTAACTAAAAATTTCATTAAGCCACAATAATGTGTTTATCCATTTTCTTACCTTTAATTGAAGACACTGTGAGCTGTAGGATGACAAAATAACTTTAAAATACATTCAAGTTTTTTTTTGTTTGTTTGTTTTACAAGTTTTAATCAAACAGGTATTTCAGAAACGTGATTTCCCCACACCCGTACAAACTCTAAAAAAACTACTTCTAAACTTAAACAGATTTAGGTCCAGAACAGGTTAAAGTTACCTAGTTTTTTTTTTTTTGTTTTTTTTTTTGAGACAGACTCTCACTA